GTCTTTCCATAATACAGATGCAAATTAATGGATTTCAGTGACAGGTTCGCTGAATGTTAGGAAAACATTTCTAAAGTAAGAGCAGTTCAACAATAGAATAAATTACCCACAGAAGCATTGCATTCCCTTTGCTTAATGTGTTCAAACAGCTATCAATCAAAAATGCTTTAACCTGGATGCTCTGCTCTAAATCACTGTTTTTCAAACTTGGTAACATTAAGATGTGTGGCCTTCAACTCCCAGAATTCCCAGCCACCGCTTCCATGACCCCTCCCAACTCTATGATTTTGAAACTAACCTCTCCCCTGACACTGGAGAATTCCTAATTATGTCCAAAAGATCAGGAATATCCACTCTGAGAAGGACAGTACTACTTGGGCATCCATAAGCCAATTAACCGACTTGCCATTTCCCACTAGTGAATGGCTTTAAGGGTTGAATTGAACCCCATCACCTATATGATCCAAGCCTCACCTCAGCTTTAGACCTACTTAGCTATGGAAAGCACAGATCTTTGTTCCAGGTTTTAGCATCTGTAGCTGGAGAAGAGAGAAAGAGAAAGAGGGGGAACACACGCAAGACTACAGTTTAACTTTTCCCCAAACTAATTAATATAGAAGGGTTTTGTGAACATAATGAAGCAGCAGCAGCAGTTTAGGTCGCATCTAGCTTTGGAAAAAGGATTTGATGGCTTTAAAATAAGTCCTGATAAACACATTTACCAAAACACTTAAAACAAGTTTATCCGATGTTTTGTACAAATTGCTGTTATTTCTGGAGATGATTCAAAGCCAGAAACTATTTACTCTAAGATTCCAAATGGTCAGTAGAATTTTCCACAAGCGTTTCTGAGATTTCAGAAGCCAAAACCTCTGTCTATACAGGCACCATTGTATCACATTCAGTAATACAGTCATGAATGAAATGTTTATCGTTGGTTTCTTATAGAGTAAACAGATGGTAAAAAACGTAAAATGTAGCTCTGAGCTTTAATTTGCTATGTTGTAAATTGAGCATGAAGAAACAGCCACTAAGGATTTTAATCTCACTTACTAAATTTAAATAATTTAAACTTAAGCCCTCTCTGAAAGACCCCTTTAAAAAGTATCTGTTTGTAGCATTTTAAAGTATTTTGGGAATTCTTCTGATACTATCTTTGTGGGAGTTCCCCAAAATGTAATACTGCCACCAGTAAAAAACAGAAATCCCAGTTATCATCTTTTCATTTCCAAAGCATCAGGTGTCTGAACAAAGGCCTCCCTTGATCATCTTAAAAACAGAAGTTATACATAAAAAGGAGGGTGCAGTGAACAGCTATTTTTCATACAGTTAAAACAGATAAAACATTTACTGAACCATGGAAAGGAAATTTTCTCAAAGATACATAGTCGCAATTTCCTGTGGAGATATAGGTAGTCCTTGCTTAATGACCATTCAGTCGGTAATTGAAGTTACAGAGGTGCTGAACGAATGGTAGTTACACCTGGTCCCCCAAGTTACGGCCACTGCAGTGCCCCCACAAATACATGATCAAAAGTTGGGTGCTTGGCAGTGTCTGCACTTAATACCACAGGGGCACTTCAACTCCCCCACCTGCCTATGTCCCCCCACTTCTCTGCCCTTTTGGCCACCCTGGGCTCTGCTGGCCCTGCCGCCCCCAGCTGACCTTCGCTGTCTTCTTCCTCCTGCTGCTGACAAGACATGCTTTGGACAAGGCGCAATCCTGTGCAGCCTTCTCACGAGGCTTTAAGCCTTCCAAAGCCTTGTGAGAAAGCCACATGTGATTTGGACAAGGCCACGCATGGCCTTGGGAAGAAGGCCTGGCATGGCCAGCTGACTTGTGAAGGGCCAGGCAGGCTCTTCCTCCTGCCCATCAGCAGGGCTGGCAGGGCAAGCAGAGCACAAGGCAGCAGGGCCAGCGGAGCGTAGGGCGGCAGGGCTAGCGGAGCCCAGGGCCAGCAGAGGTGGTGGAATGCAGGGCAGCCAAAAGGGCAAAGATGGGGGGAGATTGGCAGGTGGGGGGAGGTGAAGAGGAGGCAGTCCCTTAACTTACCGAGGCTCAGGGCTGGGAGGGACGAAGTCAAGAATGGCTTGGATCAGGATGGGTCCTCGCCTAATGACCGGTAGGATTCTGTTAACGATGGCAACCGGGGCTGCCAAGATTGCTGTCACTAAGCGATGCAGTTACATGATGCCACACTTTACGACCGCATTACTTAACAATGGAAAGTCTGGTCCCAATTACCGTCCTAACTCAAGGATTTACTGTACTCAAACTGCTTAACTATTGAACAAGTTTCTGCAAAGAGAAATGGGCCGGCCTACCTACCAACATCTGAAATCAACTGTAATGCTATATAAGATAATCATTATTTGGACAACGTTTGACAAAACTAGGGGTTGGTGATACAAGCTAATTTGAACAGCTCTTTTAAAATATATATACAGTAGTCCCATAACTGACTGGCAGTTTTCTATTTTACTCAGCGTCCTTCTTTATTTCTTCTTCTGGGGAAGGACCAGAAGCTAGTACATTTTGGAGCACTTAGGCAGGGAACAGAGCTTCCTTGAGTACTGTTCCTAAGCTGGCTTCTCATTTAAAATAAAGCAACAGGTAAGCAGGCAAACAGATGGAAAACGTTCACATATATATAGACACATAGAGATAAACCACATTTACACACCATTCAAAAGAGACAATAAAAAAGGTAA